AAGCATGGAGCCTGCTTAAGATATTCTCTCTCTCTCTCTCTCTCTCTGCCCTCCTCCCCCACTTGTGCACTCTCTGGGGAAAAAAAAAGGTATATGAGTTAAGGTACAAAGCTAAGCTACAGTCACAAAAGACTCAACAATACAATGGCTTAAAGAATAAAGTTTATTTCCCTTTCATGTTCTGAGTGAGTGTACTCAGCTGGTTACACATCTTTTGTGAAGTCCCTCCAGGACTGCAGTTTCCAACATGTTCCACAATCCTCTAGGACACTGTTATCATTTGCAGAGTTTGAAAGGAGTTGTTTGGGGTTCCTACTGGGTGGAAGGAAAGAGGCCAGCTGGGAAGCAAGTTGAATGTCTTTGGGCCTACCCTGGAAATGGCACACACCACCTGAGCACAGACAGGAACCCGGGTCACACCTGACTGCAAGGAGACTGAGCCATGCAGCCTGATCCTGCTCCCCAGGACACACTGGTGTTGCATACACATAATCTCTGCCAAAAAAGCCTCTGGAGAAAATGCCCATCATCAGGAAGTGGAGGTGACTGCCAGTCAGGATGATGGTTACCTCTGAGCAGGAGGGAGTTTTAATTGAGAAAGAAATGTTGAGGTTTTGAAGATGCAATTACAAGGATGTCCTCTTCATATTAATTCATTAAACTGTAGTTTAAGTTTTTGCATATTTTGTTTCTCACAGCAAAGGGTTTTAAATAATGATCAATCTTGCAGCAAGAAGATATATGTAATCCAACCTTTACTGCATGTGTATCGCGAGATCCCTCAGTGTAGCACATCAGAAACGCATACCCTGAAGTGACGTGTAATGGTAATGCTGTTCGGTGTTACTTGTTTGTAGTAACAAATACTTGTAGTTATTCTCACTGATTTATGAGTTCAATTTTTATATTTATTTGGTATGAAATGGGTTTTAGAAATGAGACACCGAATACGGTATTTTACTTGTAAGAGGTAAGGGTCTGATGCAGTAACAACTCAGCATGTGACAAGGGTCCAGGAATTAACTAGGTCTTAGGTCCAGCATCATTCATCAATAACCCACCAGCAACCAATTTAATCCAATCCATACGAAATAAGAAACTGGTGAGACTCTGTGGCAGACAAACTCCAGGGTAGTCCCAAGACCCTTCCTTCCTAGTACTCACACCCTTGAGTGTGGGTGAGACTTACTGGCTCACTTCTAACCCACAGAGTACAGCAACGGTGACAAGATGTTCCCAATTACTCTGCAGACAACTATGACGACACTCTTGTTAGGGAAAAAGCAAGCTGCTATCACGTAAAGCTAGGCCTAAGGAGAACCACGTGAAAAGGAACTGAAGGTGTCTTAGAGCCAACAGCCAACCGAAGCCCTTAGTCCAAAAGCCTACAAGGAACTGAATCTGCCAACAACCATGTGCACTGGAAGCAAATGCTTCCCCATTCAGGCCTCAGATGAGACCATAGCCCCAGCTCACACCTCTGCACTGTAGCCCAGCAGAGGATGAAGCTAAATTGTGCCCCAGCTCCTGACCCACAGACACTGGGAGATAACAAATGTGGGTTGTTTTAAGTTGCTAAGTTGGTAGCAAGGGTGTTATGTAGCAACAGACAATACAGAATCCATATGAAAATTCCACTATTTTTCCAAATCCAGCAACATTTGACAGAAAAATACCTTTATCTTTTCCTACTACCTCTCAATAAATGTATGAAAACTAGAATTTTATAGGGTATAAGAACATGACCAGAGTTCACAAGATCGACTGATGGCCATAAATCTTTCTCAACAGACTCACACTGAAGCTACCAGAGACATTTTACTATTTCTATCATTTTTTATTCCTATCGGTTTTCAAAGGGAAGTACATTTCTACCTGTCAAGTACACACTGCTTTTTTATTTTAGAAACTATACAGGATAAAGAAGAAAGCTCTTTGATATTTAAGTATTTATCTTCCTTACTGTATGCCCCCCCACCACTCCCCAAAACACTATCAAAATTTCTAGGTAGGTAGTCCATACCCAAAAATTCTTACCAGTTCATTTATTAATGACTTCTAATCTAACGAGGCTCATGAGCAACAGAGGCCTGAATATGAACAAATCTAAATGTTAAGTGCTACCTATATCTTCGAGAAACTGCACGTATATAGCTTTTGCACAATTTTTCAATACTCTCAATTATTTCATCACAATTACTCAATTATACCTCATTCACATATAACTTACTCTGTGGAAAAGAAACAACAAATTGGCTGACTTAAATATTAAAAAACAAGACAACTTTGCTAGTAAAAAAAATAACCGGTGCTCCAAATATTTCAGTCATACTTGTGAGCGTATGTCACTGCTGCTATATATGATGCCATAAATGCATATACACGTATCTGTCGGTCTTTGCCACCTAGGAATTTATTCATTTCTCTGGCAGCATAATACACACACTGTCAAAAACACCTCTCTGGTCTGCCACACAGAGTAAGCAAATACTATGTCAATGTACGTTCAATGACCCAAGAGCTAAGGCTGAAGCCGGGGGCACCGTGAAACAGCCCATCTCTTCTGAGGTCACTTACACAGCCAGTGCAGATTCTCAGGAAATGTTTGGCATAAATGCCTGGAACAAGGAAGAGAGTGCTACATTTTAAAGCATTAAGGGCTGGAGCGCCTGGTGGCTCAGTCAGTTAAGTGTCTGACTTGATCTCAGGTCATGATCTCATGGTTCGTGAATTTGAGCCCTGCATCAGTCTCTGTGCTGACAGCTCAGAGCCTGAAGCCTGCTTTGGATTCTGTGTCTGCGCCTCCCCTGCTCGTGCTCTGTCTCTCTCTCTCAAAAATAAATATTGAAAAGAAATTTTAAAGTGTTAAGGGTTAAGAGAATGTGAAGTCTAGCGAGCAGCAGGTCAGTTATCACTGAATGAGAGGAAACCAAGGGGAGTAGGACTCCATTTGTTTGTAGCAAAGCTTCTCTACACAATATAAAGTTCCTTAGAATAATTCTGCTGGCTCATTTTCAAACCTTAGTTAAGGTAACTAAAGACAGATTCATAAAAATTACTCACTCTTTTCACCCCTCTCCAATGCTTAGACTCCACTAAGTCACCTGAGTACACAGCAGACATAATCTTCTGAGCAACACTGGAAAGCGGTATCTTACAGGGATCAAAGCCTACAAATGCCTCATAATTTTCCATTTTCATAAATCCTAAACGTAAGATAAACATAATACCCATATATTAATTTTACTTCAAAATAAGAAGTTATTTGAAAAATGTTACATACAGAGACATTCATAAAAATCACTCTCTGTAATGACCACGTAAAATAGGAATCAATTATCTCCATAGTTACCGATACAATAGAATAGCAAGAAGGAGGCAAAATGGTTAGAGACTCAACTGGAATATTATGGTAAACAGGTAACAAAGCATACAATTTCTAGTTAACCAATTTTGAAGCAAGCAATCTATTCATATACTTCCTGAGGTTTGAAACAAATGGCTGTTATAATCTTCAACTGTACAAATCTAGTAACATAAACATTTTTAATGGACTTGGGTAATTATGACAGACACACAACCTGACATCATTCCATGCACACCTCTCAGCTGTACTCGCCCCTGGGCTGAGTGGGCGAAGGTGTGGAAGGGACAGTACAAATCATCAAGTAGCTGGTCATACATCTAACACACATGGCACTAATCTAAACAGAATGTGCTGTTCCATGAGCCAGGAAACTGGGTGACATATTTTCGCACATTACTGGAGAAAAGAAAAATTTTAAGTAAATTCTCTATTCCACTGTAGAATAGAGAAAGAAAAAAAAGGAATAAAAGTCACCCATGAGGAGCTAAGAGAAAAATCTTAGACAAAATTGTTACAAATTTTCAAGCATATTTAGATCTATTTAATAAATATACATTTTTAAATAATGTACAAATATAATAATTGGCAAAATAATTTTGTTCAACAGATTATAAAAATTATGAGGGCTTATCTGTCACCTAAGCATACCCATTTTCTGATGGCTATAGCTAAAAAATTCCACAAAAGTGTAGTTTTTAGACTAGCATTCCATATTAAAAAGTAATATATTCTGGAGCAGGAATATTCTTGAATAAGGAATATTCCTTGAATATCTAGATCCTCCTTTTCCTCTGCAGAGCTTACAAGTATGTAACAGGCCACTTATAAATCAAGCACTCAAGAAACACTTGGATGTCATGACTGATAAATAAGCTATTTCAAATTATTTTATCCCACTCAAAATAATTTCTAATGGTCCAAATAATACACTTGTATCCCAACTGATACAATCTAACATTTAAGTATTCTCCCTTCAGAGAAACAGGTAAAATAGATTATACATCCTTTGAGCAACCACTTCTATGGCATTTTCAAATTTCATTTAAAAATCATTCATAATGTGTCATACTGAAGTCAAAGCACTAAGATGTCTTGCAGAAATTCTAAGTCCCCAGGACCCAGATGCTAAAATGAACAATGGCCAATGGACACCCAACATTCTTTGTGGAACAAATAGGAACATTCAGAGTCTCAAAGTCTACAGCAGGGAATTACGGGGGGATACAGTTTGAGTATTTTACTTTATAGAATTTTACTTTATAGTCAAATACGAGGGTACTTGGCTATTCCATATTAAGGTGTTTAACACCTTAGGGTTTAACAATGCTGATTCAAAGTTCTACAAAGGTTTTAAAAAAAAGTAAAAAAGTTATCAGAAAAAGTAAAAGTAAAAAGTTATCAGAACTAGGTCCCACCAAGCAAATGTTCAAGTCATAGAAAGCACTGGTACTTTGAATAAATATACTATATGAGGGAAAAAACCAAACTGATACAATACTTGAATTAATTAAATGAAATGTTCCATTGACCTCAAATTTAAAATTTTAGTAGTGTTAATTAGCTATGTTTTCCCCCTAATATAGAAAACATTAAAACATAGCATATGTAGTAAAGATTCCGTTTTTAATAATCTTCAATCTTCCAGACCAACAACTTTAATCTTTGATTGGTTTTCTAAGTTCTCCACAATATCTTTCAGATAATCTTCATCTTTTAAAAAATATACATATAATTCTCTTTCCATTCGATGCAGTTTATTAGATGCCAAAATTTTTCTTTTTGTCTTCACATCAGCAAGAACATCAGTAAGAAGATGATTCAACTTATTCAGCTGGGATTCAACTTGATGAAACTGCTCTGTTAACTCCTAAATGAAAAATAAAAATGCTTTTAATACAAAAGCTCTATTTGTAATAGCAATTATAAAAACTTAAGATGTAATTTACACGGAAAGAATCTGATATAGTTATTCACACGATTTTAATGATAAACCTCAATTAAAAATCCATAGTAGGTTTAATACAAATTCTATGTTAGACTCAACTGCAACAACTTTGGACAGATAACTAAGAGATTCAGAACAAACTGTTACTCCCTGAAGGGTACTTGACATGTAAACTGTTATGCATATTCATACACTCAACAAATATTACTAAATGCCTACTACATGCCAAGCACTGTTTTGGAGACTACAGGTATACGAATGAACACCACCTCTTTCATGAAGTTAACAATCCACTTAACTGATCAAACCTTTCTTAGCCTAATCTCAGTCTACGCTAAAGAAAAGAGGTACTGAGAAAGCCTTGAAATGAAGCAATTACCAATAAAAAAGAATCATCTCAACAAAAACTCCATTTTTCTCTTTTCACATTGTTAAAGACAGAATTACCTGTAACATTCAACAATCCAGATTTACCATGTAGTTCTCCTGCTCAAGAACCCAGACGTGCCAGACCCTTCACATTTAATACACTGAAATGCCTCACCTCCTAAAATTAAAAACTATTTATTAACAAGTTTCCATGGCTTTCTAATCAAGTATTCTACCTCTAGAAATTTCCAGCTAGTATCCCCAAAGAGAAAATCCACAGCTCTGTCTCAATCTTCTGTACCTTCTCAACATGGTCCATGAGCATGGTAATCACCTGGGGTGCCTGTGACAAATACAGATTCCTACACCTCACTCCACACTGCATTACTCAAACTCTAACAGGCTCCCCGGTGATTCTTATAAACAAGTTCAAGAATGACTGCTTAACACATGTCATAAATGCCAGTTCCAGAGAGCAGTACTTTTTCAATTACATTTTAACAAAATCAAGTAATATCTACATTACATGGTCTCCCTTTGAGGAAAAACTTGGTAAACTTGAATGAGAAACTATAATCTCACCTTTAATTTCAATATGAAAGATCTTAACAATTACTAAAATAATATTCCTACAATACTGAAAAATATCCACCTTGATTAACAACAAAAATGCAAGTTAAAATTTGTATGCGTGGCATTTTTAGATTTCACTGGGTTAAGGAAAAACATTAAATGACAGTAAGATTATAGTGAAGTGAAATCATCATACTTTAGTGATTCTAGAATGAAACCTTTCACAGTTTAAGATATCTGACATCTGGGGCACCTGGGTGGCTTGGTCGGTTGGGCGTCCGACTTTGGCTCAGGTCATGATCTCGCGGTCCGTGAGTTCGAGCCCCGCGTCGGGCTTTGTGCTGACAGCTCAGAGCCTGGAGCCTGTTTCAGATTCTGTGTCTCCCTCTCTCTCTGCCCCTCCCCTGTTCATGCTCTGTCTCTCTCTGTCTCAAAAATAAATAAACGTTAAAAAAAATTTTTAAAAATTAAAAATTAAAAATAAAAAAAGATATCTGACATCCGTATCATTTTAAAATTCAGAGCATCTTGTGATTACTATTAACCACTCATAAGAAACGCTCTATCACCAACATTCAGGAAAAAAAGTTTTTTACTGTGATGAGAACACTTAACACGAGATCTCCCCTCTTCACAGATTTTTAAGAGTATAATGCAGTATTGTTAACTCAGGCACAATGCTGCACAGCATTATCTCCAAAACTTATATATCTTACTTAACTGAAACTTTTTATCTGCTGATTAATAATTCATTTACCCTCTCCAATCCCTGGTAACCACCATTCTACTCCCTGCCTCTATGAGTTTGACAATTTTAGATATCTTTGTGAGTGGAATCATACATTACTTGTCCTTGTGACTGGTTTATTTCACTTAGCATAATTTCCTCCAAGTTCATCCATGTTGTTACATATTACGGGATTTCTATTTATTTATTTATTTATTTATTTATTTTTCAAAAAAAAATTAATGTTTTTGAGACAGAGACAGAATGCGAGTGGGTTAGGGCCAGAAAGAGAGGGAGACACAGAATCCAAAGCAGGCTCCAGCCTCTGAGCTGTCAGCACAGAGCCCGACGTGGGGCTCGAACCCACAAGCTGTGAAATCATGACCTGAGCCGAAGTTGGACACTCGACGTCAGGCGCCCCACGGGATTTCTTTTTATTAAGGCTAAATAATACCTTGTATGTACATACCACATTCTCTTTATCCATTCCTCCACAGATAGACGTTTAAGTTGTTTCCATACCTGGTTATTATGAATAGTGCTACAATGAATGTGTAAGTGCTTCTTCAAGATCCCGATTTCAATTCTGCTTAAATACTCAGAAGTGGAATTACTGGATCATATGGATCATTAAGTTTTTGAGGAACCTCCATAGTGTTTTCCATAGCAGCTGCACCAGTTTGCACTCCTAGCAACAGTGTACAAGGGTTCCAATTTCTCAGCATTCGCCAACACTTTTTGATACTAGTCATTCTAACAGGTGTAAGGTAATCGTTCATTGTGGGTTTTTTTTTTTAATGTTTACTTTTGAGAGAGAGAGAGAGCGAGCGTGTGCACACACGAATGGGGAGAGGCAGAGAGGGAGGGAGACACAGAATCCAAAGCAGGCTCCAGGCTCTGAGCTGTCAACACAGAGCCTGATATGGGGTGGGGCTCGAACCCATGAACCTATGAACATCATGAGATCATGACCTGAGCCGAAGTTGGACGCTTAACCGACTGAGCCACCCAGGCACTCCCATTCGTTGCGGTTTTGATTTGCATTTCCCTGATGATGAGTGACACTAAGCACTATCCATATACCTGTTGGCCCTTTGTACATCTTCTTCGGAGAAATCTCTATTCAAGTCTTCAGCCCATTTTTTAATTGGGTTATTAAGGTTTTTTTGCTATCACCAACATTCTTAATGTATAGTGTAGAAAAATAAAGACAACAACTTTGAGCCAAAAAATAACACAGAAAGGGCACTTAGTCGGTTAAGCGTCTGACTTTGGCTAAGGTCATGATTTCACAGTTCATGAGTTTGAGCCCCGCATCAGTCTCTACACGGACAGTGGGAAGCCTGCTTGGGATTCTTTGTCTTCCTCTCTCTCTGCCCCTCCCTGCTTTCTCTCTAATAAATAAACTGAAAAAACAAAAATAACATAGAAGAACTGCACGTCAAGTGTAAAGCTTTGAAATACCCTAAACATTTTAATTGGCTTATTTTTTCCTTCTAGCATGTATATTCAAGAGTGATATGACATTAAAAAGAAAAAAGTGATTATGATAAAAATCCATGTCTACCTGCACCTAGAAGATATCTTCTAGAAAGTATTCAATAAAAATTCAAAATAAAAAAGTATTGTGTCAGTTAACAGAAAGTTTTTCTTTTTTAGCAATTCATAAAATGATGGTGCACCATATGATCAATGGTGTCTAGCAGACATTTAAATAGTGCTGGTGGCATGAATGAAAAACAGGTGCGACTCCTCAGAAAAGCAATATGGCAGCATCAAAGGTCCCCCCCTCCCCCGCAAAAAAATGTATATACCTAAGAAAGCCAATAATCCTATTTCCAAGAATTCATCCAAATGAAAAGTATCCAACAACAAAAAACTATATACACAAGATATACATGATGTCATTCAAGAGCAAACAAAATTTAAAAAATGAAGACTATCAAAAAAATATTCAACAACAGTGGATTGATTGCAGAAATTACTGTAACATTAAAAATTAAGAAAATTATTCAGAGTGAAAATGTTTATTTCATAATGCTAAGTAAAAAGGAAGAAAAAGATGTGTAAAGAAAGGTGAAAAGTATATATTTTGAAAATACTAACCAAAAGAAAGATGGCATAGAAAAATTAATATCAGACCAAAAAAAAAAAAAAAGTTAAGTCAGGAAGCACAGTAAGAATAGAGAAAGTAATTATGTAAATACTAAATGGTTCAATTCACTGCAATTCAAATCCACCATGATAATAATTCATCACAATTTTAAACTTGGCAATACAGTTGACCCTTGAATATTGCAGGGGGGTTTAGGGCACTGACTCCCCGTACAGTCAAAAATTCGCGTATAAATCTGGATTCCCCCAAAACTTAACTACTGAAAGCCTACTGTTGACATACAGTTGATTAACATATATTTTGTACATTATGTGTATTATATACTATAATCTTACAATACAGTAAGCTAGAAAAAAATGTGACTAAGAAAACCATGAAAAAATACATTTACAGTACTACACTATATTTATTTATTGAAGAAAATTTGAATATAAGTGGACCCATGCAGTTCAAACCCATGTTGGTTAAGGGTCAAATGTAACTTATAAAATAGACTCAAATATAAAGAAAACACTGCTAGAACTACAACAAATTTTCAAATCTACCATCATAGGAGGTTTTTACTAAATTAATACAACTAAAAGATGAAATCAGTAATAATCACAGTTATCACTTCACACATATTAGGATGACTATTATATGCATTTAAAATTTTTTTTTTGTTTATTTGAGGGAGGACACAGTATGAGCAGGGGAGGGGTAGAGAGAGAGAGAGAAGAGAGAGAGGAAAGAGAGGAGAGAGAGAACCCTAGGCAGGCTCCACGCTGCCAGCACAGAGCCCAATGTGGGGCTCAAACTCATGCAACCATGAGATTATGACCTGAACCAAGATCAAGAGCCAGACACTCAACCGACTGAGTCACCCAGGCACCCCTATATATTTTTTAAAAAAGGAAAATAAGTGTAGGTGAGGATGTGGAGAAACTGGAACCCTGTGCACTGCTGGTGAGAATATAAAATGGCACAGTTACTAAATCAACAAGGAAACAATGGCTTTGAATGACACACTGGACCGGATGGACTTAACAGATATATTCAGAACATTTCATCCTAAAGCAGCAGAATACACATTCTTCTCCAGTGCACGTGGAATGTTCTCCAGAACAGATCACATACTGGGACACAAATCATCACTCA